AAAATTAGATACCACATTTTTTATTGTTTCTTAATCTAGAGGACTAATAAAAGTTTAAGAATAATTTTTTCATTCAAATGGTTCTTAAATTGATGTTTTCATTCAACTATTTTATTCAAATTGTTTTCCAAAATTTTGACCCTTTAAATATTATTGGTTTCCACGCAGAGATTTTAAGTTATTTAAGTTCAAAAGTTTTATACGTTGAATGAAAATTTCTGCGCGAAAGAGTAGATTGTCTATTAGGAAGATAAATTTAGCGTATTTTATGACAAAAACATTACTTTTAAGAATAGCCAAAAAAAAATGCATAACTAAAAAAAAAGTAAATAAACAACCAAAAAAACAAAAACAAATCGCTAAAATTTGTTTTTTTTAAAAAAACTAATTGTGAAGATGTGAAAAGCAATCGTGATTTGCGATCGCAATATGCTCAATTTGAGCCCTGTGTTAATCTTTAACATTGTGGAAAAAAGAGGATCCAGACTATGTTAAAAAAGTAGTAATATATTAGTAAAATGTTAAAAAAGATAATGCAAAGTGTTGATGAAGATATGATAAACTGAGAGCTAATTGAACTTTACAAAAGATTTTGATAATTCTCAATTTAAACGTATTGCATAGGAATCAAATAATTTACAATGTATGTATGTATGTATGTATGTATGTATGTATGTATGTATGTATGTATGTATGTATGTATGTATGTATGTATGTATGTATGTAAGCATGTATGTATGTATGTATGTATGTATGTATGTATGTATGTATGTATGTATGTATGTATGTATGTATGCATGTATGTATGTATGTATGTATGTATGTATGTATGTATGTATGTATGTATGTATGTATGTATGTATGTATGTATGTATGTATGTATGTATGTATGTATGTATGTATGTATATATGTATGTATGTATGTAATGTATGTATTACAATGTAATCATGCTACATTGAACTTGATATGTAACAGACTGAAACAATTTATGTAATGCAACTGTATGTATGCAATGAATCTGCTAAAGATGCCAAGTACTAGATAGAACTGGAGCATAAGTAAAATGCAAATTGTACTGGATGCCAAGTACTAGATAGTACTGGAGAATTTTATTTTGAAAAAATTGCAGGTTCAATGCCAATGAACATGTTTAAAAATATAATTTTTTTTTTTACATTGTCAGTGACAATATTACCTGTCCTGAAGATTGCACAGATTGGCTCACCTGATTGCACAGTGGGCCAGGAGGTGGACAAAACCTCAAAAATAAAAATTTATTATTTCAAAAACCATATAATAAAACATAATTGTAATATTCTATTGTCTTATTAAAAAACTTATTTGAATATAATAATATCCTTCAAAATCACAAAAATCAATTGCAGTTCCATGTATTACAAATTACTTTTTTTTTTTTATACAAAAAAGCTTAAGCATTCTTCATTTTTATGCTTAACTTTAGTAAACAGTAACTTTAAAAAAAATACATTTATGCGCAATTGGTTTTTGTATTTTAACTATTTATTAATATAACTTTATGAAAATTATATAAAGTAAAGATTAACATTTAACGTAGATTTCCGATATTTCGAACAGTCCCTAATTCCGAACAGTCCCTAATTCCGAACAGCTTTAGCTCACTTATTGTCACATCTTTTATTTTTGTGGGATTTTTAAAAGGAAAACTGAATAATAAATTGAAAACTAAATAATAAATAATAAATTGAAAAACAAGGGTAAGGAGAATATGAAAAAATATTTTAAAAGTATATATTGATACCATGAAATTTTTTAATTGCAAGTAAAACACTTTTTAAAACCCTGAAAAACCAACAATATAAAACCAACTTAAAAAAAAAGGCAAGTTAAACTGCATACTGTTCGATGTAGAATAATAACTATCTGAAAAAAAAAAAGTCAAAAATTAGCAAGATATTTAAAAAACAGTACTTTTCTGCATAACTAACTTAATTAACAACAATTTTTAACAATTTTATTTAACAATTAAAATTAACTTAAAAACTAACAAATACTTTTAGCTTTTTAAATTAATTTCTAAACTAAAATTTAAAAATTTAAATTTAAAACTGTTCATCGTTTGTTAATAAAAAAAAAAAAGGTTAAAAATAAATAAAGATCGCCAAATAAAAATTAAACTTTATAATAATAAGATGGCATATTCAGAAGCCGCTTTATGCTATAACATTTCTAAAACAACTATTTTTGCAGATTAAAAGGAATAAATGGAGTGTTGGAAGGCCAAGAGCAATAAGTCAAGTAACGGAGAAGCTTATATTTGAACTTGTACAGTTTATGAGTGACATTGACTTTAGCTTAAAAAGAAATGATATTTTAACTGTGGTCAAAAAGTATTTGAAGAAATCTAAACTAGCTCATTTATTCAAGACTAGTAAAATTATTTGATTAATGGGGGAGCATTCGCTAAGGGTGCAACCAACCTGATACTAAACTTCTGCTGGTTAAAAGCAGTTAATTTACAGAAGTGACAGTGACAATTAAGGAAAAAAAAAAAAAGCAAGACAGAATCTAATAAATAGATAATGCACACTCTGTACCAGCACAATGCTATATTAAAATATAAAAGTAATTTTAAATTTTAAAAATCTTTTTACTTAACTCAAAGCTAGTATAAATTCTTTACTATTTTAAATTGAATGCTATTTTTTGGGATTTGATATGTATGTTCAGAATTAGGAAACATTATTTTCATTATAAATATACTTGCTGCTTGATATGGTTATATTTACTTTAGTTCCCAGTTTATTCATTTATAAGCATTAATTTGAAACTCAAAAAACAAGAGGAGTTATTCAACTTTAAGTGTGATTTTGTTGGGAATTAGGGAAATCTACGGTATAACACTTTTATAAACTGGCTTTATAATAACAAGGTAAGTTTACATTTAATAACGTTTAATACTTTCATTTTATACAAAAAAGTCTCAGATAAGTTAGGGAACCTAAAAGAATGTATATCGAGTGCTTGAGCTAGTTAATGCAACATGTTTATAACCTATTAACACATTTATAACCTATTATTATTATTATATTACATTTATATTATTATTATTATTATTATTATTATATTACATTTATAACCTATATATTATTAATTTTTAATGTTTGTTTTTTTGGTTTTATTTGTTTATTTTATTAAGGTGTCACTCCAATGACTAGTTTTTAACTATAGGAATGACACCAAACCTAATTTTGTAAAATCTTATATATTATTGCCGAACTTAATAGTGTTAGTGCCCCTTCAAACCTTCTGTCAAGGGTTTGTGTTAGACACAGCAGAACGAGGCAGTGGCAAGAAAGCATCGCAGTACATTTTGTTGTCAGCAAACGTTAGCGAAAGTGTATGAAAATATCTAACGCACGTAAACTTCAAATTAAATAATGTTAAAACATACTAAAACATTTATCAAGTTTTACAGTTTCACTTTCACTTAAAAATTGCATTGCCTCAAGCTCTCTCTTTAATTTTGATCTATAGCATTTATTTCTGATAAAAAAAATTATTGTATAGTTTTAAAAATTTTCATGGCCGAGTGGAAAGCGCGTCGAGCTGAACAAGTAAGCTGATAGCGCGTCGTCTGAACAAGTAAGCCGTGGTTCGAGTCCTACCACTGGTGACTTTTTAATAATTTTTTTGATTATTTTAATTACAAAATACTTTTGAAGTTTTATAGAGATTATATACAAACATATGTAACAATATGTGTCATTATTGAGATACAGGGGTGGGACCGCAAAATGTGAACACTTTTCTGATTGTAATAATTAATTTTCTGTTAAATATGAACTATTTTAAATAAGAATGTCCAATGGTTGGACATTCTTATTTAAAATAGTTCATATTTAACAACTCTTTAGACACTTTCTGATGAGTGAGAGAGTACAACTACATCTAACGAGAAAATAGTTATAATAAAACAAAAACGTTCACATTTTGCGGTCCCATCCCTGTACTTAAGTTATCAATGAGCTCAAGTTATTTGTCCTAATAAGCTGTGGATGGCCTGGAAAAAAAGCTGTCTGAAACTTAATAAAGAAAAAACTTAATAAGACAGCCCTGCTACTGCTGCTGCTACTGTAGAGGCAAAAAAAAAGAAAAAAAAGCTGGTAGCAAGAAAAAAATTTAAAACTTTCTTTTAACAATTAAAATTTTTTTTTGCTATAAATATATGCTGCAGCAGTTTTTCTAAACGCCTTAATATGCTTATTACATATTTCAAAAAAAATGCAATTAAAAAAAAATTCTTAGGAGAAACTCTTTGTACAATGTTTTTTGAAACAGTCTTGCTTACAGTCTTTAACAAACTAAGAATTTGAGGAGCAAAAATATTTATAGATATCCCAATTTGCAATTACTTAATTCGAATTTAGTCAAAATTAAAAGACTTTCTTAAGACTAAAACTAAGATGAAGAATTATAAATATTTTAGAAAAAATTAAAAAATTTGTAAACTTTACATTTCTTTGTAAATTAATGTCTATATACACATATATATACACACACAGATATATATATATATATATATATATATATATATATATATATATATATATATATATATATATTATATATATATATATATATATATATATATATATATATATATATATATATATATATATATATATATATATATATATATATATATATATATATAAAGATATTAGCATTTTTGTCAGATTTTGAGTGATTAGCATTTGATCAGGTTTTAATCACTGTGCATTGTAATAATCCTAACTTGTTTGTTTTGTTTTTTACACTAAATTTTTTTTTGTTGCAAAAAAAAAAATATTTTTCATAAGAATTCCAAAATTTTAAAATATATACTTCATTTTAAATAATTTTTTGGAAAAACCTATTTTTAAAACAATTAGGAGAAAAAGTATGCAATGTCAGATTAATAAATGTTCTATTTAGTATGAAAACATATAAATATAAATAAAAAATTATTAGGCCTTACCACTTCTTTTCTTCTTCATCCAGTTTTGTACTGCTTGCTTTGGAAGTGAATTACTATCAGTTATTAAAAAACCTCTTGATGTTGATTTCCGAGCATTTGGTACATCGGTCTGCCATTTATCAGGAGGAGTTGTCACAGATGTGTACTTTTAATAAAAAAGTAATTTCTTACTTTTCTGAAAAAATTTTCTTTAATACAAAATAAAATTAAATATCTTAATACAAGTTTTTGATTATTAAAAAAAGATCTCTTATTTCCTTATAAAAAATAAATTTTCAAACAAAAATCGAAACATGTTTATAACAATATAAATAATGTATAAATATTGCACAAAAATAATAATGCTACATACAATAATATCAGAATTTAAATCTTTTGATGTTGAAGCTCTCATTTTGTTATTAAAATTTTTTAGAGTATTGAAAGATGTGTAGCTTGTGGAAGAATCATTGCCAGATATATTGGCAGTTGGCTTTAAAATACCAGTTTTTGATTGACTGGAAATGTTCAACTCATTTAAATTATTTTTGTTCTTTGAAGTTTGTTTTCTTTTTGTTCTTGATTGAACAGGCACTTTACAATTTAAAACAATTTGTAGTGGAATTCCATCTGGAAAGTGTAAAATTTCTCCAGTGGATTCGTCAATTAAAGAAACAGAATTGTAAACTGAAAACTGAAAATTATTGTCAGAAACACTTTCATCAAAAACATCTTGATCAGCAACCATTGATTCCATATTAATTCCAGGCATACTTGACATTACCAGTTGATTTGGAAAACACCTGTCATGTCGAGACTGCGGTATACCTAATATAACAGATTTCATTTTTAAATTTGGTTTTTAAATATATTTTAGTTAATAAAGTAAATTACAAATAAGAATATTTAATTTCATGATTCAAAGTTTTCTTTCCCTTTTTGAAACTTAGTAAAGAATAAATCTGAATGTTGTTAAAACAGGTTTTTATTCATTTATTTTTAATTTATTTAACTTTAGGTTTAGTTTAAAAGTATTTTACAAAAAAATATTTAGTTTTGTTTAGTAGCTTTTAAATGATACTTTTAATATGTTAAAAGAACTTAAATAAGCTTTTAAACTCTGTAAAGAAAAAAATAATACAGAAATTTAGAAGTCCTTGAACCTATTATTTTTTAACCCAGATTTCATAGCTACAATAGTACACAAGGACTTTAGATTTAAAAAGGATATATACCAGGAATTTTAGATTCAAAAAAGATATATTCCAGGAATTTTGGGAATTCTTTCAATAAAAATGAAAGAGTTCCCAAAATTTAATAAATTTAAAGTAATTTTTTTTTTTACATATAGTAGATTAGGGTATTACAAGCACTAGGGTTATGACTTTTTATTAACTCCATGCTCCTGTACTGTAGTACAGGATGAATTTGATGAACTTTTACCTAAAGCATGAAATGAACAATTATTTGCATATCTTTTCAAAAAAGTTCACACCGCCGTTGAAAAATTGATTTTGACATAAGTACTACTATGTATTCAAATGTATTTAGAATGTCATAGTCACGTAATACAATAAATTTTCAATCCAACAATGACTTAGACTGTTGACCTTGCTCTTACTTGTTGCACAGAAGGAATCGAAGGTGCAATTTGTCTTTATTTTTACATGATGAATAAAATTCTTCCATTACTTTGACTGTACGCTCTGCACATTGATTACTTCTGGGTATTTGTAATACAGATGGCTCTTGCTTCTGAAATCTGCACTTTTCTTCAGTTTTTTTTTATTCACTTTTTCAGTAAATATTCTTCCAAAGGGACTATTCTTTTTCTTTTATGAGAGTCTTCAAATTTTACCAGATTATTGGTCCAGACATCCTTGTTTTTCTGAATGTTACTATTGCTAGGCTTGTACGACGCTATGTGTTGCTTCTGTAATAACTATAAAATTAGATGAGCAGCTATATCTAGTCTAAAATTTTCTAAAATATTCCAAATTGTTCTAGAATGTACCAAAATATTTTAAATTGTTCTAGAATGTTCCAAAATATTTTAAATTGTTCTAGAATGTTCTAAATTGTCCCAGAATGTTTTAAATTGTTCTAGAATGTTCTAAAGTCTTCTAAAATATTCTGTTATTTTCCAAAATGTTCAAAAGTTCTGAACACTTCTAATCTATACAAGTTTTAAATGATTTGCAGGAAAGCCACACGTATTAGTAGCAGCAGTAACAAGATTAAATAAATGACAAAACGTAATTTGAATTGTGGGGTGACTTTTTTTTTACAACTAAGTGGAATTGAACATGTTTTCAATGTTTTCTAATTAAAGTTCATCAATTTATGACACAGGAAATTAATTTCTTTTTAAAAAGTCAAAAAGTCAACCCTAATGAGCACCTTAAGCGAAAACTGAAATATTTTCAAAAATAATGTTGGATTTAAAATTTTTGCAAATAAACAATGTTTATTGATCACTACTCATGATCCATTTAGATATTTAGACAACCCAAAAAATTTTCTTTAAATAAAGAGGTTTTAAAAAAGTACCAAAAGTGCTCATATTACCCACACCAACTAATTTCTGAAATATAATGATTTTTTATTAACAAAACTTTGCATTTAAAGATCAAATTTTAAGCCATTTTTTATAGAAACAATACTACTTTGTTTTGAGCAAAAATAAATAAATAATAAGTTCGTTATTTTTTCAATGTCATTAACTCAAATCTTTAAATAATATTACAAATTTTTTGATACAGAAATTTATTTAGTATTTTTAAAAAATTTTAAATTTTGACTATGTTTTGTTTTTATTTAATAAGCAATTAAAACCACTGCAATTTTAAGACTTTAAACTAGGTAATTTCAATGAAAAACACTGGGTAATTGGAGCATGCTCAAATTCACTAAAGAGGTATCTTTAAATAAAGTCAAAAGTAATGTTTCTATGCATTGTTTTTCAAACAAAAATGGAACGGATTTCTTGCTTACATATTTTTCTTTATGAAAAATTGCATTTATTACTTTTGTACCAAAAATTTGCGCCACAGATTTATTTATGTCTGTTGATAATATTTTAACAACACAAAAAATTGAACTGCTTTTTATTTAATTAGAGCTGTAAATTTACTGCATATAGATTTACGCTAATTATAATGATTTCCGTTATCCCAACATAAAAATGATTTAAAAAATACAAAGAACTTTAACTTCACTGCTTACATCTAAGAAAGCTTTTAGTATGCTTATATAACCAAGGTGCTCATATTATCCTAATCTACCCTATTTGTATTTCCTTTTATTCAAAATATTAGAAAAAAAATTAATAAAGAGGAAAAAAGAAGCATTAAGTTTTTTTTCAATAAAATAGCATCTATTCATTGCAGTTAAAATACTTTTGAAGAAATTGCTGTCAGTTAGTTATTGGTTTTAAAAACAAAGATATTTTTGTAAAATATCTGGTCTGCACGATAAACAATAAGATTGTATAAAGGAAAAACGCCAAAGTGTGGACTGCAAGCAATCTTTTAAAGTTTATTTAAAATATAATATGCCTATCAAGATTTTATATGTTATGTAATTTAATATAATATAATTGCAATATATTATGGAGTCCTAACTCGGAGTAAGAACAAGTTTTCGGCAACGCCATCAGGTGGTCGATAACTTTAGCTTCAATTTTCAGACAAGTAAAATCTCAAGTTCTTAAATGATGTTTTCAAGCAAAACTATTTTAATTATTGCAAAGATATTTAGGCAGAACACTTAAGACATTTTTTTTTTTAAAACACAAGCAGGAATAGTTGTATTAAATTTTCATTTCTTTTATTTAAAACTAAAGTTATAGAAAAAAATTTCGATTTAGTTGTACTAATTCGTCTAATGTTATTATTTCCCTAAATTATTTTGTTATTTATTTTAATAGTTGATAAAATTAAATAATATAATCAAAGTTAATTAAAAAATAAAACATTTCTTATTTGATTATTAAAAGCATTTCTTATTTGAGTATAAAAAAAACAAGCTAAAAAATAAATAAAAAACCCAAATAACAAAAACAAAAGCAACCCTCAGAATTAGGGTCAGTATTCAGCAATGCTGACCTAAAAATGTTTAAGGCCAGCAAAAAAAAGGTCGACCATGTTTCTATGCTTTATGGTAAAACCTTTGTGTCAAACTTTCTTTGCCGACATGATGCCAACCTCTAAGAGTTAAAGGTCAGGAACTTATTTTTCCTAATTCTGATGGCTGCAATTGTGTATAATTACTATACAAAATATGAATAATAATACTAAATTTAAAGCAAAAATAACAATCTTACTAACATTTTAAGCTGCTTCGACGTTTTTCATGATTTTTATTTTGTTATATTTGAAGTCATAAACTTAAGAAATTAATTGTAAAAAATTACAAATAAAAGCAACTAATTGTGATACATTACAATTAAAAGCAACTAATTGTGAAACATTACAAACAAAAGCAACTATTTGTGAAATATTACAACTAGGGCTTCCACTTAGAACTGTTTTTAAAAGTTTAAAACTAAACAGTTTCAAACTATTTTTGAAAAAAAGTTCAAAATATTTTGAAATTTATTTTTCTAGGCTAATATACACACAAAAGTAATACAAATTTTGTTATTATTTTTTTAATTATTTGTTTAACATCATTAGTTAGGACAAAAACACATAATATTAGTATAATAAAAATACATAACATCAGTAGAACAAAAACACATAATATCAGTAGAATCAAAACACAAAATATCAGAAGAATAAAAACACAAAATATCAGAAGAATAAAAACACAAAATATCAGAAGAATAAAAACACAAAATATCAGAAGAATAAAAACACATAATATCAGTAGAACAAAAATACATAATATCAGTAGAATAAAAAACACTTAATATCAGTATATAAAAACACATATTATCACTTTTCATTGTTTGCTTCAAAAAAGTTAATGCATCCAAAAAGTTATTTTCATCATTTAAAAGAATTTCTTATTTTAGTTGCAAAAAGAAAAGAAAAAATTCTCTCTAATAGAAATATTTAAAAAAAGTAGGTCTAAATTATTAAGATTAGCTTTACTGATTTCAAAAACAGCAGGTTTTTTTGTAACAAGGTTTGGTCTAACTTTCTAATGGTCAAGTTTCAGTTCAATGTCTGATTATTCAACAAAGATTTTCAAGTTATTGAGCTAAATTCAATTCAGCTATGTTACTTTAGAGTTACCGTTATACCATTAGTGATTACTTACTTGTCATCATTAGAGCTATTGTCAGATGAATTATTGAAATAATCGCTGAATGATATGAATAAGATAGCAAAGATAGTTATCTTTTTTTAAATCTTTCTGCCAAATTATTTGACTTAGTACTTCACAAGATTAATTAAATCAATCTTTTACCTTTAAATGATTCTGTTTTGAAATACCTGTTTAACAAGTTTTTTTTTAAACAATTTCACTTTTAACAAGGCTGCAAGCAACCATTAGTGTTGGAAATTACTGGAAGAGAAAAGATGAAGATTGTAGAGCAAGATAGCGATTAACAGACGACTTATTTAAATCAGGAAAGCAAGATTAAGACTGCAAATTATTTAAATCAGGAAAGCAAGTAGATGGTAGATGGCACAAGAGATGCTAGCTCTTTAGAGCAGTGCCCATTATAGTATTTGTAGAAAAGAGAATGAGAAGCAATATTACGACGATGTGATAATGGTTGAAGGTTGGCTGCAAGAGCAGGTCCAACTATATTTACAACGTGATTTTGCACCTTGTCTAAAAGAGAAAGGGGATCATTAGAAGATCTGCCCCAGATATAGCAACAGTATTCCATACAAGGCCTGATTTAAGATTTTTAGAGATAGAAAATAGAATCCAGAGTAAAAAAGTGTTGAGCTCGATAAAGAGATGCAAATTTAGCAGATGCTAAATTTGCAATGGATTTGATATTTGATGGTTTCCAAGAAAGATCAGAAGTAAGAGTTAATGATGATGAAGGGTAGGAGACACATCGAGTACATTACCATTCATAAATATAGGAAGGTCTAAATTATTGCGATAACGATTGGCTGAAAAAAATTGAGTTTTATCTGAACTAAAGTTCACCAGCCACTGTGAGCCCCATGCTGTAGCAGAAGTGAGATCCTTTTCAAGCTCAAATACCCCCTCCAAGCAATCAGAGAGAGTTGGCTTCTTATCACGACAAGAACAAATGGTAGTATCACCAGCGAACAATGCCACCTTAAATGTGAGAATATCTGGAAGATCGTTAATATAAATTGAAAAGAATATAGGGCCAAGCATTGAGCTTTGAGGAACCCCTGAGGTTACAGAATAAGAAGAAGAATGCTGTCCATCAAAGACAACTTTTACACTACGATTGGAAAGGAAGGATTCAATAATCTTAAAAATGTTTCCAGATACACCATAAGTTGATAGCTTATGGAGAAGACCAGCATATCAAACTTTATCAAACGGTTTAGAAATGTCAAGAGCGATGGCCTCAACCTCTCCACCTTTATCTAATGTACGATAAAACCTACCGGTTATTACTGTTAGCAAATCAGCCGTAGAACGAGAAGATTGAAATCCATATTGATAATCAGAAAGGAAGTTATTAGATTCAAGATGAGAGATTAAGCGTTTGTTAATTAAAAACTCAAAAACCTTGCTTATGATAGAAAGAAGACTAATGGGACGGTAGTTAGACAAATCAGATGGCTCTCCAGAATTTTTAAAAATAGGGATAACAGATGCTGCTTTCCAGCAGGCTGGAAAACAAGACTCTGATAAGCACTTGTTGAATAGTTTTGAAACAATAGATGATAGCTCCGGAGAACACTTCTCCAAGACTATAACAGGTATGTTGTCCAAGTTGAAGGTGTATGAGCTTCATCAAGTTATTTTCATGTAAATAAAAAAAGATTAAGTAAATAATAAAAAAAACAGCATCTACTCTTGAAAAAGTGTTAATGGGCAACTTTAGTAGTTTTAAAACAACACAAAGTTCATAAATATCACCAAGCTCATTTTAGTTCAAGAAAAACAATATTCATACCAATGAGAGCTACTTTTAGTTCTCTTTGTACCTCCAAAAAATGTTAAAGCATATCAATAGTACTGGTTCATCTTGTCCTTGAATCACAAACCAAAGCTTTTTTTTTTTCCTAAACTTTTCAATTATATTTTGCTAAGTTCATCATCACTGGTGATCTACAATATTTTTTAAGTTATTTTTTCACTTTTGCAACAATTTCTTGATATTCAAGTTTCACTAATACTTCAACCAATCATTATCATTCTTTAAACCAATCATTATCATTCTTTCAACCAATCATTATCATTCTTTCAACCAATCATTATCATTCTTTCAACCAGTCATTATCATTCTTTCAACCAGTCATTATCAATCTTCATTATCACTTAAATCCTGATCAGAATCTTCAGCTTCCATATCACAATCAAAAAGGTTATAATCATAACCATCGACTTTATTTTTTGTAAAAAGCAATCACTCATAGACATTTGATTTTCAAGTTTAGTATTTTTACTAATTTTTTTTGTCAAGTTAAGCACATCAGTAACAAAAGCTAAAATGTATTTATCAGAATTTATATCAAATGAATTAAACTTATCACTGATCATTTAAGTTCTTAAGACATTAAGAACAATCATTTAAGATCATTTAAGACATTAAGTTCTTAATATTCCAATAGATTGAAATCCTTTATTGTGATGTAGCTTTAAGTTCATTTACCTTTGGCCTTTTATTGAAAAAAAATCTCTTAGCATTAAAAAATCTATAAAAACTTATTATAGGCAAAATTAAAACATCATCATCATCATCATCTTCATTATCATCATCGCCACCATCATCATTATCATCATCATCATCACCATCACCATCATCATCATCATCATCATCATCATCATCATCATCATCATCATCATCATCATCATCATCATCATCATCATCATCATCATCATCACCATCATCAACACCACCACCAACACCACCATCATCATCATCATCAATCATATATCCTAAACATTACAAAACTAAATGATTATAGTTTTTACATACATAAATAATTTACACATTAATTGTCTTTTAAAGTTTTAAATGATTTTTAAAAATTTATAAGACATCAATAACTATTTGTTTTACACTTCTACTTTGATTTTCAAAACCAAAATTATCAGATCAAAAATTTAATTGAAGATTTTAAGTTAGTTAATTTAAGATCTTAAATTGCAATCACTAAACATATTCTTCTTATTTGGAAAAACTATTAAAAAATTTTCTGTTTTTTTAACCTTAAAAAGATCTTTAATTTCAAATATTTTAGCCCAAGCTAGATAAGACTGCCAGATTGACTTTTTAACTGGAACTGCACATGATAAAAACCCTAAATTTAGTGAATATCAAAGATTGATTACTACTTTGTAAAAGATTACTACTTGGGTAAAACATCATTATTAACTATAAAACTTTCAGGGACCCATCTATGCAGTACATTGCAATGCTCAAATCTCTGCTTAGACAGACTTACACACATAGTGTATTTGCATAGTTTGTGGATGTACTGATAAACCAGAACTCCCCAAAAATAATTTATCAAGAGAATAACTTGTTTCTTTAAATGTTTTATGCATTCAAGATATTTTTAATACTTTTTTTTCTTTATGCAGCTGAGACAATAATTAGCAAAAAAATAAATATATATTTATAAAAAATTTTTCAACTAGATTAATGTTATGTAATAACATTTTCCAAATTAATAACAAGCCATGACATCTGCAGTTATGTGACATTGAACTAAAAATGCTTTGAAATTTGATTACTTTTTAATTAAACAATAGCAATGTTTCTTATAACATTTAATCACACATTTTAATCAACAGGTTGCACATACATTATAGCTTGTGATGTAAATATACGCTTAGATACTAAAGGACTAAATAGCAAAAGTTTTAAGGAACTAGATACACTTAATCTTACACAAAATGTCAAAGAACCAACTCATAAAATGGGACATATTAGATGTAGTAATTAATAAGCCAGATGAAATATCAGTTATTATGCTAGCTGTGAAAGACGTAGAATTGAGTGACCATTTTCTCATTGATTTTAAATTAGAGCAAATAATAGAAAAAAACGCATACTACACTATCACATACAGGAATTTAAAAACAGTGCACATAAAGTCTTTCAACAATGAAATATTAAGAAATAAATTGAAAATCTCATCCGCTGAAAATATGAAAGAGAAAATAACAATATATAATCTAGTAATGAAAGAAATTGTACAGAAACATGCTCCTTTGAAAACTAAAATAGTAAAAATAGTGATTACAGCTCCTTGGTTCGATGGAGAATATATGCAACTAAGGCAAAAACGAAGAAAAGCAGAAAAATTATTTAAGAGAACTAAAATTAAAAGTGACAAAAAAGAATACATACGCCTCAGAAAAAAAACAACAATTATTGCTTATATAAAAAAAATAACGTATTTCTCTAACCTATTACATAAAAAAACACCTCAAGTAAAAATCTATTCTCAATGGCAAACAAGCTACTAGATAAAACTCAGGAATATGTACTACCATCAGCGGATTCAGACAAAGAACTGGCTAACAACTTCAACAATTATTTTACTGAAAAAATCAGAAAACTCAGATCAAATCTTTCAACACCCCAAACAAAGAAAAGCACATCAGATTATAATGGTCAGTTTTTAAGAAATTTTGATCTAACAACTTACAAAGAAATTTACAATATAGCCATGTCATTTGGAGTAAAATGTTCTCCAGATGATCCCATTACAGCATATCTACTAAAGAATAATTTACAAACATTTATACATATATGGGTGAAAATAGTAAACCTATCGCTAGAATCAAGCAGCATGGATTGTCTAAAAAATGCTACATTACTTCCAATAATAAAGAAGTTAGACTCTGCCACCACAGATACAGAAAACTTCAAAAATTATAGACCAGTTTCCAATTTAGTATTCATTAGCAAGCTAATAGAAAGAGTAGTTTCCAATTGTCTAGATTCCCACATGACAACAAACAATCTTCATATAGAATATCAATATGGGTACAAAAAACATCATTCCACTGAAACACTTTTGCTGAAGCTTACCAATAATATATTTGAACTCTTTGATAAGAATACACCTTCAGTACTAATGTTACTTGATCTAAGTGCTGCTTTTGACACTATTGATCAACAAAAACTACTTGGGCTATTAACTAGTGAAATAGGCATAATGGACTCAGCTCACAAGTGGTTTGAATCATTTTTAGTTAATCGCACCCAAAATGTTAAAATTGGTAACTCGTACTCTACAAACCAAAATGTCAAATATGGAGCACCACAAGGTACAGTACTGGGTCCAAAACTATTTAATATCTATATGAGACCACTGTACAAACATCTGAACATAATTAATGTTAAAACTTTTGGATACTCAGATGATCATCAAACTCTCAAAGCATTCCTTCCTTCATTTCAATATAATGCATTAGTTCTGGATATACCAGAATGTCTTGGACACATATCTAAATGGATGTGCGAATCATTCTTATGCATTAACCAATTGAAAACAAAAATATTATTATGGCACCACCTAACATTCAAAAAGATATTATTATTAATAAGGTACTTTTGTTAACAAGGAATCCATTAGATTTGTTGACTCCACAAAAAGTTTGGGTGTGATACTTGACAAGAACTGTCTTTGAAAACACAGATAAATAAGATTGTGAAAAGTTGTTACAATATAATCAGCAAAATATCTAAAATAAAACCATTCTTATTGCATAAAGATTTATGCACCATAGCATGTTCATTAATTTTTTCACAGCTAGATTATTGCAACTCCCTCTACTTTGGAATTGAGAAGTCACTATTAAAAAAACTGCAGTCTGTCCAAAATTGTGCAGCAAGACTAGTATTTAAAACCAGAATAGAAAATCAAATAAATGACCAGGTATTTATCAATTTGCATTGGCTTAAAATTAGAGAAAGAATTTATTTCAAGGTTTTATTAATAATGTACAAGTCTATTATCCAGGAAGCACCAGCATCATTGTGTAATTTGATTCACTTCTCAACGTCAGAGAGAATTTTGAAATTATAAGAAACAAAATCCAGCAATCGTTTTGGTGATCGGGCGGTATCCCACTATGGTCCTAGACTTTGGAATATTCTTTCAAGTATCATTCAAGATGAAAATAACACAACTATTTATAAGAAAAAACTAAAATCATATTTAATGGTGAATAACAAACTATTCCACCAGAAAACTCTAGAATATTAAAAATTAAAAAGTAATATAATAACTTATTGAACAGCTGATAAAATATTTAACTTAAAAAAGGATGCCTACATGCAATATCACTTGGTGTGATAGTGAGAAGGTTTACAAAATCAAAAACCTTTATTGAGTTAATAAGAAAAACCTAACAAAAATCATTATAACAGATGAAAAACTACTAAACTTTCATCTCACTGAATGTAATCTAAAAGCCAAACATAATTGATAAACAAGCATCTAAAAGCAATGTAATCTAAAAGCCAAACATATTTGATAAACAAGCATCTAAAAGCAATGTAATCTAAAAGCCAAACATATTTGATAAACAAACATCTAAAAGCAATGTAATCTAAAAGCCAAACATATTTGATAAACAAACATCTAAAAGCAATGTAATCTAAAAGCCAAACATATTTGATAAACAAACATCTAAAAGCAATGTAATCTAAAAGCCAAACATATTTGATAAACAAACATCTAAAAGCAATGTAATCTAAAAGCCAAACATATTTGATAAACAAACATCTAAAAGCAATGTGTTCTAAAAGCCAAACATATTTGATAAACAAACATCTAAAAGCAATGTAATCTAAAAGCCAAACATATTTGATAAACAAACATCTAAAAGCAATGTAATCTAAAAGCCAAACATATTTGATAAACAAGCATCTAAAAGCAATGTAATCTAAAAGCCAAACATATTTGATAAACAAACATCTAAAAGCAATGTAATCTAAAAGCCAAACATATTTGATAAACAAACATCTAAAAGCAATGTAATCTAAAAGCCAAACATATTTGATAAACAAACATCTAAAAGCAATGTAATCTAAAAGCCAAACATATTTGATAAACAAACGTCTAAGAGCAAGAGTACCCTATTATAAAAAGAAAAAAATTTCGAAAAGCAATGAACAGTGGAATTCATGCAAAAGGAGTCATGGTATAGGGTAGAATTTATGCAAAAGGATTAACATCTCTAAAGCAGGAGTTAAAATTAATTCAATTAACTATTTATTCAAGTAAAATTAAATATGGTATCAAAAGATTATATCCAAAAAATAACTTTTTTTTCCATCAAGATTGATCTAGTCACTCTTAAAAAATGGTTGTTAAATTTTTAACTGACCAAAAAAAAACAAAATTCATTCATCCTGAAATGTGGACACTAAACTCACCAGATAATGTGACTAAGGACTATTTTATATGGAGTTATATGTTAAGTCAATAATAAATAAAAAAATAATAAAGTCAATAATAAATAAAAAAACGAAAAAAAAAAAAGATATACAGCATATGAAAAATATATGGAGAAACATCCCTAAAGAACTTAAATAAAGCATTGTCCTGGTCTAAAAATTGTAAATTTATTTAAGATAATAAGGTCTTATTGAATTGAACATTAAAAAAAATAAAAAATAAAAAGTGTTTCTGATTTAATGTCATATGACTGTATACCCTGTTCAACAGGATATAAATTTTATGGTTGTTTGGTTTTAATTTAAGTGTTACATTCTCGGCAACCATTAATCAGTTACACTAATTGTATACACTACAACATACTGTTACACACAATACAACCTGAAGCTGTGCATACTACAAACTACAGTTGCATAAAATACAACCTACAGTTGGATACACTACAACCTACAGTTCTACAGTTGGTGTGTAATACAATTTCGAAAAAAAATTATACAAAATAGATATTGCACAGTTTTAAAGATTAAAAAAAAATTTATTAAAAAAAAAACTGATTACAAAAACTGTTTTAACAGATGTTAAAAATAATTTAACGATAATATTTCGGACATTTTGACTTGATAGCATCCCAACTATCATCAAATGCTTTGACTACATCTTCATGAAGAGGACCACCACTACATGCATTTAAATTTGTTTGAAAATGTTCTGGTTTAGAAAAACCTAAAATAACTCCATCATTATCTTGAAGTTGAGAGTGATGAAACAACCACCTCAGGGATGCTTCTAATAGTGTTACTTCTTCATTGTATGTTTTTTTAACAACTTCCATGACATTTTGTACACCATATTTGTAAGGATTTTGCCAATAACGATCTTGGTAACTAATAAATAAAGCAAAATGAATATATATATATATATATATATATATATATATATATATATATATATATATATATATATATATATATATATATATATATATAATTTTATACATGTTTTTTTTATTTATATGAATGTGTTTATTTTTTAGTTGAGAAACTAGTTTCATAATGCAGAATAATTTCTCAACAACTTGCAGTGCTATCTTCAAAAATTTCAAAAATTCTAGTAGGAGCACCAATAAGAAGAGCAGGAGATACCAATGCAAGTGGTTAGATAAAAGAAAAAAAAAATTTAAAATTGTTTTTCGATTTCTTGATAACAATGAAATAGATCTTTGAGTTAAAGAAATAAGTTTTGCACACAAAAAAATTTCTTAGTGATGCTTGTCTCTCGACCACATCACAAATACAGGTTACAGTCCTTGAACAAGAATGGCGTACAGTCCACTGTATAAATACTGTTATAAATTAATGGTTGATAATTAATCTGGAAAAAACCATTACAATACATGATGCTTCAAAAACAGTAAAGCTTGAAACTTTAAAACATGAAGCTTTAATAGGCTTTTCTCTCAACAATATATAGAGTGATTTTGCTGCAACAGGTATTCACATATTTCAAACAACTAATTCAAATAAAGAAGTCTGCCTACCTAACTCAATTTAACCAGAGCCAGCAAATAAAAGATTTTCAAAAATGGACTTCAATACCAGCTAATCATGTCAATACAAGAGCAAAAGATGCATTTGTATCAAATAAAATCTCTAACCATGGCTGAATTACTCCAACAGTTTTAAAAATTCAGTTCTACTACAAAGACCATTGTTCAAAGCAGGTCCAAGATTGGCATCAAAAAGAGGTAGAAATAAGCATTCAACAGTTCTAAATAATTCACCTGTCAAGATATGGCTTCCTTATGATAAAAACTAACTAAAAAAATTAAAACTAAAAAGAATCTTAAACAAAAAATCATCAAAGTAAAATCTTGCTAAAAAAAGGTTTTCTATTCAAAAAAAAAAAAATCAAAGAAGACAAATTTGTACCTAATAAACATAATTGAACAACACTCTATTAACAACTATTTATAAAATAATATGATAATAACTGCATCAATTATTAAAACTAAAAACTATAATTATATAACATTAACAGTATCTAAAAAGTTAAAGTAATAAAAAAAATTTGTAAGTTGGAAAATGTTTTAAAAATGTAAACACTCACGCTTTAGTCCATTGATTGGTCCATCCAGCATTACCAGAAGCAAAAAATCTCCCTTTAGGCTGCTCTTCATTTTGAAGGTTAAAATCATATCTTCCAGTTAATAGACCACCAGCAAGCTTTAAAACAATATCTATAGTTTAAAAGGGTCTTTAAAAAGCTCTCAACTAATTAAAATAACTCTTGAGTAATTAAAAAAACTCTTAAGTAATTAAAAAAACCTGCTGGGAACTTACACTAATAAAAATACTAATAAAAATAATAAATATATTTAATTAATGGTTTAATTAACTAAAAAAAAAAGTTTCTTTGTAAAAGTTCATTATAGTCTAGTTTATTTATTTATAAGGGGCTGTTTTTGTTTTTAAAGTAAATCAAAAAAATTTTGATCAAAAAGTAAAAAATTAAAAAACCTAAATTTACTGGAAATATTTACTAAATGTAACTTACTGGATTGTACACATAAAATCTAATGCCAAGTTTTCTTAGGGCTGGAAATAATTCTAACTCAACATCTCTAAATCAAAAACATTATGATCCAATAAAATCAAAATTTTTATATAAAAAAAAATTAATGAATATATATAATGAATATGAGGTGTGTTCAAAAATTAAAGTGACTTCTCAAATTTTGCAGGCAACATACTTTTGATTATCAATTTTTTTGTTTTTCCTGAACATCTGTACCAAGTTTCAAGTGTATAGCATTTTTTGTTTGGTTGTGAGAGGCGTAAAGGTTATAAGTGTTTTGCGTGCTCTGCGATTTTTTGCTATCGAAAAATATGGATCAAAGAATTTGCATCAAATTTTGTGTAAAAAAAATAATAAAGTGCTCCAAAACACTTGAAATGTTGACAGTGGCATACGGTGAAACTGTTCTGAGTAAAAAAAAATGTTTACAATTGGTACAAACTCTTTAGAGATGGCCAGAAAGATGCCAATGACGAGCCTCGCTCTGGACGCCCAACCACGGCAACAACTGATGAAAACATTCAAGCAGTGAAGAAAATTGTTTTGGAAAATCGTCGAATCACTATCAGAGAAGTAGCTAATGATGTTGGTATATCGCTTGGCTCGTGCCATGAAATTTTTTCTAAAGTTTTGTGCATGAGCTGTGTGTCAGCGAAGTTTGTTCCGAAATTGCTCAATTTTGACCGTCGCATGAGCATCGCTCAAAAACTGTTAAATGACCTCAACGACAACCCAGATTTACTCAAAAGGGTCATAACTGGTGACGAATCATGGATACATGGTTATGATATCGAAACCAAAGCCTAATCGTCCCAATGGAAGAGCTCAGGTGAGCCAAGACCGAAAAAAGCACGCCAAGTTCGATCAAATGTTAATTTTTTGCTCACTGTTTTTTTTGATTACCATGTCGTGGTGCATCAGGAGTTCTTACCATATTGTTGTACGGTCAATAAACAGTATTATCTTGAAGTTATGTGTCATTTGCGAGAAGCAATACAAGAAAAACGTCCAGAATTGTGGAAAAATAATTCATGGCTTTTGCATCACGATAATGCCCCTGCTCACTCATCTTATATATATATATATATATATATATATATATATATATATATATATATATATATATATATATATATATATATATACCCTTATAGTGTAGTCGAAAGAGCGTTTTAATGTAAAAAAAGTCTCTTACGTCTACAATTTTAAATACCTCGTCTCTTAAGCTGTTTTTGATAGTCATCGAAATGTCAAAGCAATTAATTTATGCGGAAGTATATTAAATTTAATTGTTTTTTAAAATTTTTTTAAAAAACCGCAATTATAACGACTAGAAAGTTTTTTTTAATTAGTGGTGTTTTTGTTATTGATTTAATAAAAAACATTTTTAAAACATGCGTAAATGTTGCTACATCGACTATCTTATAGCCTGACTCGCAACGGAGTGCTGCTACATCGACTGACAAATAGCCTGACTCGCAACGGAGTGCTGCTACATCGACTGACAAATAGCCTGACTCGCAAGGGAATGCTGCTACATCGACTGACAAATAGCCTGACTCGCAAGGTAGTGCTGCTACAACGACTGACAAATAGCCTGACTCGCAAGAGAGTGCTGCTACATCGACTGAGGGTTTGGTTTGGCCAGGCAGTCTATCAATTAAAAAAAAAAAATTTAATTTTTAAATTTTCAAAACTTTTTCTGGTCTGGTTTATTAACGCGCTCTTTAAAACTACAGTTTATGGGAAATTTTTTTTGATGCCACGCAAGAGACATGCAAGAGTATATATATATATATATATATATATATATATATATATATATATATATATATATATATATATATATATATATATATCTTGCATGGTTGTCTTTAATTTTTATCATAAAATGTAAACTTTATGTTTTTAAAAAAAAATTAATTTATAAGAGCAGCAAACTATCAAAAAATTAAAAAAAATTTGATAATTGATAGATTGCCTGCCCAAACCAAAACCTTTAGATGATGTAGCAGCACTCCAAGCATCTTCTATCTATTTGTCAGTCCATGTATGTACACTCCTTGCATGCTCTACCTATTTGTCAGTCGATGCAGCAGCACTTCTTGCATGTTCTACCTATTTTTCAGTTGATGCAGAAGCACATTTTGCATGTTCTACCTATTTGTCAGTTGATGCATGTACACTCTTATAAACATTCCAGTCTGTTAAGTTGTGTTTTCATGATTTTTTAAAAAATGATATAATTTATTTAGTTTTCTCATGGTTTTTACATAAAGTTTGTTGATTTTGTCATTTTTAAACACAAAGAATTGGTTAAGAGCCATTTTTTAAAAACAAATGGTAAATTTAAATAAGCCTTCACTACAAGAAAGCCTTTACTATATAAAATATATTAAATGCCTTTACTATAAAGAATATATTAAATGCAGCCATGGCATAGTGGTTAGAACTAAACTCCTGACTCAGAACTAGCTTCATAAATTTGTACCATTTGAACTAGGTTCATGGTTTGAAACAGCTCTAGCTTAATAAGCGGTATTAGTGAGGAAGGAGGCGTGAACTTCCTAGTTAAATGACCACGATGATCTGCGATAAGACCATAAGGATATCTGGGAGCACCTTAACAATCACAAAAAAAAAAAAAAAAAAAACAAAGAATATACACACACACACATATATATATATATATATATATATATATATATTATATCTATATTATATATATATTATATCTATATTATATATATATTATATACATATTATATTATTATGTATTATATATATATATATATATATATATATATATATATATATATATATATATATATATTATATATATATATATATAAAGAAACTAAGCAATAAAAAAAAATACTCAAAAGGTAACCTTGTAAGGGCATTATACATCCCTTGATAAACTGTTGGCAACACATAACCATTTGCTTTGCATATATGAAAAATATCTACCTAGAAAAAAAAAGAAATAAAATTAAAAAATAACAAAATAAAATAAATTTAACAAAAAATATTAATTAAACCACACATTAAAATATTGGTTTGTTCAATCACATTTAAAAATTTTGGTTAGTTTAATCACACAATAAAAGATTAATTAAAATGACAATAGATCTTTGCTTTCTTCAAATTAACAACTGGGATTGATAAGATATTGTGATAAAAGAGCCTAATAAAGCTTCTTCCCAGGTCATCCAATGAAATTTGAAAGGGAATTTGCAAAAACAACACCAAGACATTATTTTTTTACGAACAGAGTGATACCTCATTGGAATGCTTTACCTGAAAAAGTGGTTTCTGCAATGACAGTAAATTCTTTTAAAGCTAGACTAGATAAACATTTGTTAACGGCTGTTAAAGTATAAATTTTAAACTTTATGCTTCGCGACAATCGTCGTTACAGCAGTTTGTATTACTATTACTAAAATATAATAAAACTCAAAGAAGATACTAAGAAAATAAAAACTCTATTTTTTTTTTTTTTTTAATTCTGTTTGAAATGTCAAAAAATGTTTTACCAAAGATATGAAAAACTGCTTTAAATTAACTTTAAGAACAAAGAGAAAACTCTAAAGCTTCAAATCTATTTTCTATAACACACATTATTTGTAAAGTCATGTTGTCATGGAGTCATGTTGTGGTATGTATAACAAAATATCTTAGTTAAATTCTCTAAATTAATGCAGTTTTTTAAAGTATGAAATGACCACAAAGTTTATGTTCAACTTTTTTTGTAGAATTCTTACCTTTTAAAAGATATACATTAGATAAAAAAGGTACAAAACTATTATACACAAAGTCCAAAAAAATTTTCAAAGATTTTTCTTTGGCAAAAGAATTAATAAAATATGGTATCATCGTTTTCTTAAATACCTTTAAGTATTTTTCTATAAATGAAAACAAATTGAATACTTAAGAGCCATTTTACAAGAAAACTAGGCAACGCTCAAAAGTGATATCCTACAATCACGCTCAATTTTTTTATACAGTAATAATAATAGGCTAATAGGGTAAGAAAGAATCCTGGGTAATAGGGTAAGAAAGAATCCTGGGTAATAGGGTAAGAAAGAATCCTGGGTAATAAGGTAAGAAAGAATCCTGGGTAATAGGGTAAGAAAGAATCCTGGGTAATAGGGTATGAAAGAATCCTGGGTAATAGGGTAAGAAAGAATCCTGTAGTTTTTTAATGTTTATAGTTCTTGAGTTATAGTGCATCAAACTTTTGACTTTTTAATACTTAGAAAGTCATTATTAAGATTTTATGATTTTTAAACTGAATTTAAAGGCAATGAGAAAACTGCATCCTAAGTTTGTTATTAGATTAGGGAAGTATAGGTAAAACTTAAAAAAAAATCAAAAAAATTAAGTGCAATCCTTCATTAGTCTAAAAATCAGAAGCTGAAATCACATATATTTGAATTTAAGGCTTTTAAATACATTTATCTCAAAACATTAAAGGTTACTGCAAGGTATTTTATTGTTTTTGGAAAGAGTTTCTCAATGTAATTTTAATAGTTAATACTTATGAATTATCAAAACTGTCAAAAAATGTTTTAACTAGTGTTCAAAAATCAGCCATTATGTAAAAAGGGCAAAGGCTCCAAGATTTAAAGTACAAATTTTCTAATACTCTATAACACTAATTTTTTAATGCAAAAAAAAACTAGGGGGTTGGTTAATATTGCATTATTGAAATAACATTAGGTCCAAATGATATTAAATCTCTCATTTTCTTTTTTTCTTTTTTAAATTTATACAATTGCAGACATGTAAACACTTTTAGTCTAATGATTGTTGAACAATTATAGTTATTTTCAGGCTTCTTTATTTACAGTTATTCAATTTGGTTTTATTTTATTTTGTTTTCTTTGTGGGTTTTTTAAAATTCATCTTAGTTGATGTGTTCATAGAGTCTGTCTGTGTTCATAGAGTACTTAATGTAGACTGATATCTAAATAAACTTCTAAAATAAGTATAAATCTTACACTAGAAGTAATAAAAGTTGAAATGCTTAGACCACACTTGTAGTTCAGAAGTTGGAACAGTTGGAATAAGCAAAAAGTTGGAACAACTGAAATATGTTCAGTTTGGTTATATATTTCCAAAAACAATAAAATACCTAGCAGGAACTTTTTATGTTTTGAGAATGTATTTAAAAGCCCTAAATGCAAAAATGTGTGATTTCAGCCTCTGATTTTTAGACTAAGGAAGGATTGCACTCAGTTTTTTTGATTTTTTTTTATGTTTCATCTATACTTCTCTAATCTAATAAAAAAACTTAGGATGCAGTTTTCTCATTGCCTTTAAATTTAGTTTAAAAATCATAAAATCCTAATAATGACTTTTCAAGAATTAAAAAGTCAAAAGTTTGACACACCATAACTCAAGAACTATAAACATTATAAAAAAAAAAATTACAGGATTCTTTCTTACCCTATTAGCATTACTATAAAAAAAAATTAAGTGTGATTGAAGGATATCACTTTTGAGCCAACAGCACTTTAGCCTGTTTTTTTTTTTAGAAAATGGCTCTTCACAATTAAAAAATTGAAAAAACAATAAAAAATGATTAAAAAGAAAAAAGACATTAAGAAAATGATAAGGTGATGATAAAACAGAATTTTTTTTTACTTTATAAATTTTAATTTTTTTCTTAAAATTTTTTGAGATTTCATTAAAAATATACAATATAAATCAGTATAAAATATACAATATAAAATATACAATACAAAATATGCAATATAGAATATACAATATAAAGCAAATATACAATATAAAGCAGTTATTATTTTATCATTTATAACTTTTTCAGAAATAATCTAAGGAAACTGTAGACCCATTGCTATTAATACAAATTTAAGCTCAGTAAGTACAACAGCTTATAATGGAACAAGAAAAAAGTAACAGTAGTAAAAAAGTAACAGCCACAAAATTTGATTTAATCAACTTACAGAATCAATTAGATTAAAAAAAAAAAAAAAAAAAACAGCATAAAAAAAACATCCAAAATAAGCAAAATCTTAAAAATCCTTCAAGTAATCACTTTAATATCAACAACTTTTAACTTACTGACTTTAAACTCAAGGATTTATGCAGTAAATACAGTGCTACAATTTTTATAAATTTGTTAAAAAAGATTCAGTTGAAACTTCAAGTAAATATGATGCAAAAAAACAAAATTTTAAAATTTCTCACAAACAAACACAAGTACTGACAACAGTAAAAATACTGCAACTAAATAACTGAAATTGAGGTTTACATATATGCAAGCTATTAACTGTATTATTGGTCAACAACTGTATTATTGTATATATAATTATATGTCAACCTGTATATAACTATATTACAGTATAAATAATTCTATTAAACAATTTATAATTTTCATTTACTTTATCTTCTTTTTAAGTGTTGTTACAAGCCTTTCTAAACTCTACAGCTCTGAAACACAAGCTTTGACAAACAAGTCAATTGCAAAAAAAAAATTGAGAATGGTTTATATCACCCAACTGCCAATCAAAGTTTATACCACCAAAAAAAATTGAGAATTTTATGATTCAAGTTTAAATAATTAATTACAAAAATGAATTACTTACCACTTCCCAAGATGCATAGTTAGATAAACCAAACTCTTTAAACTTTCCTTCTGTAACACAATAAAACAAAAGCAAAATTTTTTTAATTTTAAAAATAAAACTTGATTATGAAAAATTTAATTAAAAAAACATATTATATACAATAAATAAAATTATGAAGAAAAACTACTTTTATAAAATAATTTATAATAAAAATTTTAAATTTTAAGTTTATTCAAATAATTTACATGCACGCAAAAGATTTGTACATTGGTGCATTTAAAACATGGCACTCTCAAAGCAACAGGTCCTGACATGCAAAATATAGAGGAGAATGTGAATTGAAACAAATTTGATAAAAATAGCAAACTACGTAACACAAACAAAAAGTCAAACAAGTCAAACCCATTTTTTTTTTTCAAACATAAAATAATAAAGTCATATTGTTTGGTTGAAAGTTATTCAGTGACACTTTTATTTGTAAAAACTTGATACCTTAAATTAAACTTTCTATTTTATGTTTGAGAACTTTATTTGCAATGTTTTTTTCAAATTTAGATTCTCCCTAACTCCCCCACCCCTCATTTTTATCTATACTTTGCATGTCATTTTGAGAGTGCTATAAAAAATTTTCATATTTTGAAAAAACCTGTATATAATTGATTAATTCCTTTCAATGTATCTTCAATTGGTGTGTTGTGATCAGGAACGTGCAAATAAAGAATATCTACACAACTCTGTTGCAATCTCGAAAGAGCTTCATTAACTTGTTCAACTATTTTTTCTGATTGATAACCTAGCACAAACCACTAACAGTTTTACAATAATTTAGTGTTTTTGAAATTCATCAAAATATAAAGATATCTGATTAAAAAACAACAAAACAAAACAAAAAAGAACAATAAAAAATTTATAACATTGATAAAATACTTAACTTTTTCAAATTATAAATAATTAATTATTATATTAAATTATTAGGAATTACTAATCAAGGAAAATAAAAGTTAAAAGTAATTACAGCTGGTGCTGAAATTTTGCAAACACCTGACTTATTTTTTGCTTTGTTCCAAAAAATCACAAAACAAGGGGTAACAAATTAATTCTTAAAATTTGTTTAACATTTTGTTATCTGTCCTTTGTTCTTAAGGACCATTTCAATACTTTTTGACTTTTCTCACTTACCAAGTAAAAATAACTTTTCACACTTCAGGCCTTCAGGTAAGAGGCGTGCGGTCACATACCTTATATGACCACGCATACAATACTTTGCTTTGACAACTTGACCGTGGCTCTTTGCAAGTTTCGATAATTAGCGCTTTTAAAAAATGCGCTTAAAAAAACAAAGCAAACAAAAAATCATTAATGTTAATAAAACTATTAAGCAATTTTTTAATTTGTATTATATTCCTTATTACATTGAAAATTAGACAAACTTAAGAAAGAATTTCATCCAAGCCTCTAATTGAGTTAATACCTTTTTAAAACAAACGATTCAATTTTTAATTTAATTGATTCCATAATTACAATTAAACTGCTGCAAAATTTCCTGAGTACTTTATTGCTTTGTATCTATTGAATGCATCTAGTGCTAGTTGATGTTGTATCCCAGCAAACATCAATTGTTTTTCAACATTCCACTGCTTCAATAGACAAATGAAATTATTTATTTCTGAGTCAGCTGTTCCTGATTTCAAGTTTTGCACTCACTTTAAGGCTCCTGCCTTTGGTACTCGAATTTGAAGTTGTTCATTTTTAATTATTTTTCTCTGAATATTTTTTGAATGCCATTATTTACCCCAAGTGAATTTTTTTATTGATCTGAGACAACAGATCATTTAAAACTGTTTCAATGGCATCAACAGCAGAAAAGTCACAACGCTTAAACACTTTTCTTTGAAATATTCTCATTTTGTTATTTAATTTAGAAATTCACTTTTGGAATTTTTTTTTGAGTAGGTAAAAAAACACATGAGCATTTTGTATTTTCATAAGTTACAAATGAATCTTATGGCATTTGCCTTATCCAATACTTAATAAGTAGTTGAAAATGTTTATTGCACCAGGAGATTGATGTTAAATGTGCAATAGTCTTTAAAAGCATAACTGATAGGATGGAAGAGTTTTTTCAGGTCATCTTTAAAATTAACTAATAAGAATTTTTCTGTACATTTTCTAATATATAAGGATTGTTTTGTTTTTTTTTAACTTTATTAATTTTGTCAATAATCAAACTTTCCAGATTCCTTCTAGAATCTTTAAAAACATTCTTCTAGATTGAAGTGTTATCAGAACCTTTACAGAACTTTCTGTCTTCTAGACAATTCTAGTACCCATAACATGTCAGAATATTCATGCCTTCAAACATATTTTATATAATGTAATGAAACATTTAAGAGCATTTTGGGAACCTGTTTAGAACAAAATATTCTGGATTTTTTTCAACTTTAAACAACAAAGTTTGTATAAGGAAAGCATTAAATTTTTGATGATTTAAAAGCTAATAATAATATGTGCAATATCATAAAACTTTAGATGCCTCATGATGGCGGGTGGGGTGTCAACATAAGAGTTGTGGTTAAAAAAAAAAAACTTCACACTAGCATTAATAACATCTAATAGAAAATATCTATAGAAAAGTTTTAGTCGTCAAGATTCTGAGCAAATTTATTTTTGAACAACAATTTACTACCACATAAAATGAAAAGTTTAATTCAACAACAAAATAATAAGTTAAGCGATCCCAACCAATTCTTCAGTAAGCAAGCCCAATCAATTCTTCAGTATGCATTAACTACCAATGATGAAAAACAATTTACTAGTCAAAAATTAGGTTTTAAAAAAAGACCAAGAATTGAAGCATGAATAAAAGAATAACTGCAATGATTTGAAAAATACATCTTTATAATAAAAAATAAAAAAATATTATAGTATTTTTAAAAAAAAACACATCATAATGGGTATTTTAATGGATAAGTTTAGCACAATTAAAAATAATTAAAAAGAGCTTAAAATTAAAAAATTCGGTTGATAAATTAATAAATTCAATTAAAATTGATAGATTCGACGAACAATAAAATTTGCTATTAAATCAAGCACTCTACAACCCTGGGAATTAGGAAAAATGAGCTCAATAATTTGCCGACCGGAATTTTTTAGAAGACAGCATCAGGTCGGTAAAAAAAACTTAATACAAAGGTCTTAGCATAAAACATAGAAATGAGATGAGGCAATTTTCTCAAACATTTTTAGATTAGCAGTTAGGGTCAGCAATCTTAAAAGGTTGGGATTGGCAATCTAAAATGATTAGGAAATCTAAAAGGTCAGAATTTACAACAATAATTTTGAGGGTTGGAATGCATAACTTCTGCATTAATAAAGTATGTTCTAAAAAAGTGCATGGAACCACATGTTTTATTATTTATCAACTTTTCAGCTATCTTATAATAGATAAATATCTAAGACATGGTCTAAGGCAAATGTTATAACCTTACATAAATAGATATGTACTCAGGCCACCCAGAATTATAATATCTAACTATTATATATATATATATATATATATATATATATATATATATATATATATATATATATATATATATTATATATATATATATATATATATATATATATATATATATATATATATATATATATACACACACTAGCAGAAATAATCCATGCAATTTGTATTGTTTTAATTAAAATTATTTTATTTAATCAAAAAGACTAGATAAAAAAATACCTTTTTGAGGATTAGCTTTTGTTGCAACTTTTACCTAAACAAAGATTAAATAAATAAAAATAAAATATAACAATGAAATTAGAAATCTTGAAATGATAGTAAATAAGTATAAACTTTAAGAATTTTTTTGTGCATAAAACTAATTTAATAAAAAAGTAAACTAATTTTTGTTTACTTTTTTATTATTATTAATCTGGTTTAAAAAAACAGTTTTTTTTTTTTAAATTACTTTATTATTATCTCTGCATATCTTCAAACATCCAATGATTTTTTCTGAGTTTCCACCTTGGTATCTAAAAAATAAATTAGTTATTTATATAAATTGTCAGTAATTTATATTCATTTAAGCACCTTTAAAAACATTAAACTATTTATAAAGAAAATACTTTATTTAAATAAATGAAAAGTCATAATTCAATACAATATAGCAGTATCAATTTCTTTGTAGCCAAGCTTTATCCAGTCATTAATCATTTTATGTGACTAAAAAAAGATATTTTTGTATATAAGTATTTTAGTTTATTTATATGCTCTATAAATAATAATAGATATTATCATAAACCATAGATATTATTAAATGATAAAATCATACAAAACTATTATACATAGTATAATGAATATTATATATATTTATTTTGTACTATTATTATAAAAAAATAATAATAAGTTATAAACCTGTGCTTCATTCAGTTGACCACCAAATGGCATAGCTCCAAGTATTTTGCGAATGTATGCCATTCTATAATACTTCTATATTTTCTGTACAGTACAACAGTAACAAATAAAAAATATTTACTTTCAAATAAAAAAATCATATTAAATCATATTAAAAATGATGTATTATTTTAAATGGTATTATTTTTTACTGAATTCACCTCTGTAAGGTAAAGAGAGCCACTACGGTAGAGGAGCTTTAAGAAAGTAGAGGAGGTAAAAAAGAGGCAGATGAGACCCTTTATTTCTTTAAAACAGTTGAATCACTTATTTGCAAAACCCAATTTGTCCACACAAACTTGCTTTGAGGTTATTGATAAAAACTGATTATCTCAGCCATTTTTAATCAGGGTTGGCAAAAACCCGGGTTTTTTAAAAAAAACCCGGTTCAGTGGTTTTTTGGGTTTTATTGGGTAAATTTGGGTTTTTTTGTGTTTAATTTTCATTTTGTCCCTGTAAAAATTTTTTTGGTGTTTTTGTTTAATTATATTGAAAATTGGTTTCATATAAATATATATATATATATATATATATATATATATATATATATATATATATATATATATATATATATATATATATATATATATATATATATATATATATATATATATATATATTATTGCATATTTTTTCTTCTTAAAAACTCATTTTTTTTCCTCAATATTTAAATACTATTAAGAGCTTTTACACTAAATGTACAAATTTGCTATTTTTTGTTTTTTTCCTTGATTACAAATATTATATAACACAAACATATAAACAGTAAATTTTAGACTTTAATAGTTAAAATAAACTTATATAAAGCTGAATTAATGTCTTTTTTATGAAAAAAAAAACAAAAAAAATTTTTAGTAAACAGTTTTTTTCAAGGTTACTATCTTAATTTATATGTGTATTTACTTTTTTTCATGCGATTCTGCACATAAAGAACCATGACATACTATTAAATATACATGCACAAAATTTTTGGAAATGTGAAGACATCTATTGTTATACTCAATATTTTTTAGATTTTAAAATCTTATCAAATTATATGCAACTTTATTTCAACTGAAAGTTTACAACATCTATGGAGCTGTGAAAAAAAAAAGTGCAAGCTAAAGCGTTGAAAAAGAAACAGTTCAAGAAAAGTTTTTTTTAACATGCAGTTGCTATGTTGATAAGGTTAGCATGCAGTTGCTATGTTGAGAAAAATATGTAAAAACTTAAAAAAAAAATTTATAGAACTTTTTATATAAGATAAAGCCCTAAAAAAAAAAATATATAAGATAAAGCCCTAAAATCTATTAAAATTATTTGTATTTTTAAAAAGTTAAAATCGAGATGAAAATTTTTGAATATTTGAAAAAAGTTAAATGTTGTTAAAAACTGTTAATTTTGTTAAAAACTGTTCAAAAGCATTTATTTAAATGTGATTTAAAGTTTAAAACATAAAAAAATAATTGAAAGTCAAAAAAAAAATTCATTTTGCTGTTATTTGCATACTATGCAAAAAATAAACATCTTAAACTATGTCTATTTAAAATATTATCAATCTAACTATTATCAATTTAACTGCATTACTCCTTTTTAATTTATTATAAAATTTGAATTTATTATATATATTTTACAAAACCACAAACTCTAAATACAAATACATAAAACCACTAATAAAAATTATATATATTTTAATTATTATCATAAAATTTCAAAAAAAAAAAATAATTTTAAATTAAAAGAAAAAACAAACAAAAAAGCTGAGTTTAATAAAAATGGCACCATTTCTAATTTAAAAACCAGCTTAAATTCGAAAACTTGTACAACCAGTTCAGTAGTATTTACAAAAAAAAAACAATTAGTAATAAAGAATTATATTAAAGTATTGTATATAAATATAAACTCTCTTAAGGTATGAAAAACATAAATCAATCAAAAGCATTTTCAAAAAATTAACCACAAAACTTATTGTGCATTATTGTGCAATATTTACTTAAACATTGTGTAATACTTAATGTTTATTTCAACAAAATGATGCAACAACTCTACATACTCATTACAACACAAGATTAACTGACAGCACTTTTATTTTAAGTTAAGTTTCTATAATACTTCAAAAATAACATCTAACAACTTTTTAATTCTAAACAAAAAATAGTAAAAAACAAAGAAAAAATATAAAATATAAAATTAAAAAAATAGAAATGTAAAAAAAAAAGATATGTAAAATAATATTAAAATCAAATTAATCTAAAAAATCTATAATTCATTTTCTAAAATAATAAAATTCAACTCAATACCAAAGAAGAAGAGAAAAAAAAAAAAAAAAAAAAAAAAAAACACTACGTTGATGAATTAGGCCGCAACTCCCTGGCACTATCAACAATCTAAAAAAAAAATTTGTATATATATATAAATATATAATTTATATAAAAAGGTATGTTTTAATATATATATATATATATATATATATATATATATATATATATATATATATATATATATATATATATATATAAACACACACACATCTGTGTCTGTGAGTAGTGATTCAAAATATTATATAGTCACAGCATAAACTCATAAAAAAGGTCACGTCCTATGACACGACATGGTGCGTGCCATAAATTACCAAAAAATTTCTTCTCCTAATTTATATCAAACAAAATAGGTCTCAAATGAAGTGACATTTTATAGATATTTTATTTTAATATATCTTATTTTAATATATCCTTAAAAAAACATATTGTTAAAAATTGTTTTAAAAAAGGCCTTTTTTAAAACTTTTGTTTAAAAATGTAAGTTTTTAACAATAAATTTCAAAAAATAACTTATTATAAAAGAACGAGATTTTTTTTTAACTTTCTATAAAATTTTACTTAATTTAAGACCCAACTTTGGACGAAAAATATGTTTAAAATATATACTTTGGGAGAAAAATATGTTGAATAAATAAATATATTTAACTACAACAATAATTTAAAAAAATTAATACTCTACCAGTTTTCTATGAGCTGGGTTTGTTATTTTAATGGTTTCTAAGTCCTTCTCAGTCACCTGATGCAAAAAATCAAGAGTATCAAAACCATTCTTTACCAAGGTATCATAGTAACATTGACAATTTAATTTCGTCAACCATTCTTTCAATGCTTCTATATCATCGGCTTTAGACTGAAATAAATTATTATAAAAAATCATAAAACTATGTTTACACTATTAAGATTTATTACTTAAAACTCAAACACATAATGTAACTTAATTAAAGATACATTACTTTCTTTAAAAAATTTAACCTTTTTATGAGCTATGTTTGAAACTGTTGAACCTTGCGCTGAACGTTGCGCTGAACCTTGCGCTGAAGATTGCAAAGAAGGATTAAGATTTAAAGAATTTCTTTGTGAATTATCTTGAAATGAAGAAGAATCAGACTAAAAATGATGATAAAAAAGGTTAGTAATTGTGTTATTTAGCTAATCAATATGAATAACACAAAGAAATACAAATAATAAAAGGATAATGAAGATCACTAATACAAAATCTAATGTAAGCAGTGACACCAAATATTAAACATAAAATGACTGTTTAGTGATATAACCTGTTTGAGTAAAATTTTTTCAAAAAGATTTTTTAAAAAGATTTTAATATATTTGCATATAATTATAATTATATTGTTAATTAAATAAAACTTATATTGCTAATTAATTAATAGTAACAAAAATAATAGCTGTAATAAATAAATATAATAAAATTAATATATTCCAGATAATGCACTTAATTGTGTACTATTGTTGTTTATTGTTCAAACATTGTCATACATTGCCAGTGTTCATATCCAAAACATAATTGGCCTATTTGAGACTTTCGTATCAGCTTATCAAAAGTTCACTTTGTTGTCAACATTTCATCAATTTTCATCTAAGGCACTAAATCAAACCCACAAACAAAACAATGCAATCATTGAAGACGATGGCCAAGCAGTCAGAATTTTTGATAATCTATCAGCAAATGCAACATTTTTGCTCATTACAAACAAAGACAACAAGTTTATAATACAAATTTTTAAGTAATGTAAATAACTTAAATCAATCATTTGAGCAACTTGGTAACTATTTCTCGAGGAATCAGCAAACCTTCTTGCCTAAGATTCACAAAGAATAGTTTACGATCTGTGATTACTGCTGAATAAAAAATTAAAGAACTTGGTTTGAAACAGCTTTAAACATTCATGAAATAAAGGATAATTGTTCAATCAATTTTTCAGTTGCTATATTTTTTCATTTTAGATGTTATCATGAATAGTTTAGGGCTATTACAAAGAATTGGAGAGTAGTTTTTCTAAAACAGAAAAACAAAAAAAAAAACAAAAAAAAAACATGGTCAAATCTATTTAAATTTATTACTTATAAAACAAGAAGTCAAAAGAAAAAAAAAAGTAATGAATTGTAACTGAAAAAGTGATGAAATGTAACTGAAACATTTTTGACCATATCAAATTGTTTCTTTAGTTGTTATTGACTTGCTGTGAACTTAATTTGGATATCATTTGTAGTAATATCTACTTTTGTAACCATACCTACTCACCAAAAGAAATCACACTTTCTTGCACCAAAATTATTAAAACTTTTAATTACAACCACAACAACAGATAGCTTTTGACATATAAATTCTTGTAATTAAACTTGCCCCAGTAAATTTTTGAATAAAGTTAAAATTTTAGGTGTTATGTTCATTTTTAAATGTTTTGAATTGTTTTTATTGGATTCCTTGTCCCAAAAAAATATATTTTCTTTTAATATGTAATTCAAATATGTATGCTTTTGATTGCACACAGATCAGAAACATAGGGTCAAAACCATTTTTTTAAATGATCAATTTTATTGGTTTAAGGCAAAGTAAAAATTTAAAATTAAAAGTAAAATAAATTTTTAAAGTTATATCTTTGAAACTGCTCAAAATGACCAGAGAAAAATGATGAAATTTTGGCGATGTTCATAATTTATTTAAATCTTTGACTGATGTAAAAATGCTGCATATTATGAAAAAGTTATATGTTTTCACATAGAATTGTCCATGGAACTGTTTTCGTCTTAATTGCTACTAAGTTTCTCTACTAAGCTTGGAACACAAACTGAACAACAACAAAAAAAAACACATTTCCCCACTAATTAAGTAAAATTTATTGGTAAAAACATTTTACAAGTTTTTATCAAAACGAATATAGGAATAGTTGTTGTTTGGATTAGCTACTTGTGGCGAAAAATAAATACAATCTTTTTTTTAAATAACATTACAAATCTTTTTTTTAAATAACATTACAAAAAAGTAAATTCATTAATATTTACAAAACTACAAAAAAATAACTCTTCTAAACATTTATTGGCTTCAGACTGAAATAAATTATTATGAAAAATCATAAAACAATCACGTTTACAATATTAGGATTTATTACTTAAAACTAAAACAAACAGAATAAAAAGTATATTACTTTTTATTTTATTCAAAAGAAAAATTTTAACCTTTTTACGAACTATACTTGGAACTATTGAACCTTGCACTGAAGATTGCAAAGGAGGATTAAGATATAAAGAATTTCTTGGTGAATTATCTTGAAATGAAGTAGAATCCGACTAAAAATGATTATAAACAAATTTAGGAATCATGTTATTTAGCTAATCAATATCTAAACAACCTATCAAAACTACCTATGAAATAATGATACCCTATCAAAGCTATTTATCAAATAATGATAACTTATCAAAGCTAGTTATGAAATAAATAATCTATCAAAGCTATTTATGAAATAATGATAACCTATCAAAACTAGTTATAAAATAATGATAACCTACCAAAGCTATTTATGAAATGAAAAATATTTTTACAATAAATGTAAAGCAAAAATAAGAGTAGTAATATAAAAAAAATCATGACTATAAGATATACAATTATAAATAAATACAATTAATAAAACAACATTTAATACAAAAATAATAAAGGTCACAAATACAAAATTTATTTAAAGTTGCGACACAAATATTATAAATAGAATAATAATCAAAAACAAACAATGCTTACATAACAAATAAAATTTATTGGTGAAAACTTCTTAAAACAAATTTAAGTTTTTTTGTTTGTAATGTTAATTAAAATAACTAACAAAGTATATTAGACTGAAAACAAACTCGTCAATTGCGGCATTTAATTTACTTGTTTCTAAACTGAAAACATTCTTTATATCTATATTCTTTGCAATAGTATGCATTAGATAGAGGCAGCGAATTTAGCTTAGGTTCATTAGATAGATTATTTGTATTAATTGTGCATTAGGTGAGGCAAGAATTGTAAGATTGTAAGAGTTGTAAAAGTGAGTTGTAAGATGGAGGCAGCAAGGCAAGAGCTGATGATCTTGACATTTCTAAAGCTTTCAATAAAGTTTGCTGATCTTCTCCATAAGCTATTTGCTGATCTTCTCCATAAGCTATTTGCTGATCTTCTCCATAAGCTATTTGCTGATATTCTCGATAATACTTTATATAATCTATTTGCGAAAAATTTTAAGTGTATCAAATCATTTCTTTTTAACCTTTAACTACTGTCACGACAAAAGATCTTCTTTTTTCAATCATTTAGAACAGGCTGATTTTGAATCTCACTTCACTACAGCTTGGGTAATAGCTTGGGGTTTTGCTGTAGTTGGACCTGCTTTATCTGCCAAGTCACTTTCCCATCATCATAAGGTTGCATCACTTTCTCTTATTTACAAATACTAACAAGCTAGACAAGCGGTATGTCCCAACCAGCTCACAAAAAAAAACATTAAAAGCAACAATTTTTTGTAGGGACTTACTTTTAATGAGCGTCTTTAACATAAGAATGTAAATGTGTTTGGAAAGTGTAACAATGTAACATCTTAATGTGAATTAAACATGTTGTTAAATGAAAATTTGTTATTAATTCAACTAACGCTATTAAAGATAATTATGGGAAACACATTACAACTTTTTATTTCAATAACATGTTTAATTTATAAATAGTCATGGTAACAATTTCTATAATTATGTTTTCAAAAAATGTTATAAAAAAACAATTTCTTAAAGTATACATAAAAAAAGTAAATACTAATGTCAACAATAACTTGCTTCTATAACTGTCATGCTTTATATTAATATTTGCCATTTACTCATGTTTGATAATTTTTATAAATAATTTTTAAATAAAAGAGAAAAAGCGTGTTTGATAAAAACACGCTTTTTCTCTTTTATTTTTCTTTCAAAATATTAGGAAAAAAAAGAGAAGATAAGAAGAAGCAGCAAAAAATGTACAGCCATTAAAAATAGCACTTTTGAGCAATCCATATTTAAATGCTTAGCATCACAACAAATTAACTTACACAAATAAAAAATCACATTTTTATAAGCCTTAAAACAACTAGTTTTGGTTGAAGGTCTTTCATTTCAGGTTTAAATTAATTTTTCTCTATACTTATTTTTTTTTCTAATACTTTTAATATGTTTCTAATACGTTTTCTCTAATACTTATAAATTTATTTTCAAACAAAAGTTAATTTTACAAGGAGGCATATGTGCCACTACCTTGATATAAATGCTCAATGCTCAAACATTGATGAAATTGTTGTGTTCAATCATGATACCATTGATATAAAAGGAAAACAAACAACAGAATACAATAAAAAAATATTTATAAAATTTTTTAGACAAATTTGGAATCAATAAAGCTTATATTTTAGGTCTCAATGTAGACAACGCAGCAGTGAGAAACATTTTAAAATTTGTCCATAATTTTTTAAAATGAGGGTAATTGAAATTTTTTCTTGTTTATGTTAAATAAATCTTAAAAAATAAAATAATAAAATCACTTAAAAAATAAATTGTTAATACTAAGTATTTTCCATTAAACAATAAATCAAATTTTAATTTACTTAGGTGAAATATAAGATAAGTGCACATCTTGGCATCAGCGCAAAACAGCAGCGTTGTTCTTTGCAGAATGAGAAGTGGAGTTGTAAGTAGCATAAATGTTATATACCTTCAAAGATATACTAATAGACTTTGCAGCTAGCCATAAATAATATATTGAAGAAAACCTCAATAAAAAATCACATTAGCCTTGTAAGAGAAGTTATCAAAACTCAAAGAAAGCGGATTGATTTCTTCACAGAACAAACTTCATATCTAGTGCCAATTTTAGATCAGGAAAACCGTTGATCTAGTCAGTTCAATATAATTAAGAGGCTAATTGAGGTATGTAATAATTTGCTGCATTTATTTTATATTTTAAGTAACAATCATTTAATTATAAATTTTTTGTTTGTTTTTGTTTTCCAATAACAGGTATATTAAATACCTGGTTAATTCAATATTTATTATGTTTTTATTACTTTGGTTATATTTAGTTTTTATTCTTCATTTATTCAACCCTGTTTTTATTATGTAGTTCAAAGATGCACACATATTTTAATTGAATTTTTTTATTCTTTTGAACTTGATCACTAATTCAAAACCTAAACACACTAAAAGAATCTCCTAAAGAATGTGCAACCATATTTTTAGGGATCTGGGAAGATTTAAGAGATGTCTTCCAATGGTGCAATATCTTACTATTTGTCTTAAGCGAGAGAATATCTTTATTAATAATAATAATAACAACTTTATTTATATAATTTTACAAAATGCATATTCAAAAACAAAAATATTTTCTTAGATAACAGCAGTCGAGAGTCTTTAAAAAATTACAAACTGTATTCAATTGAAAAATAAATATAAGAATTATGAACTCAATAAAATCAAATAAGCAATGTCGTGTGACTTTTTCGCATTTCATGTTGCTAAATAATACAAAAAACGAGAAGAATAATTCTTCAGTTGCAAAAGGAAAACCAAATTTATTTGTGCTGTGTGAGCAGGAGATTGAAGAGAATTCTTTTAAAGAACTAAGATCCAACTTAATATAATTGAAACAAAATATTATGGAAATCGTTATCATGACTATTTATAAATTAAAGACATTGTTAAAAAAAAAATTATTTGTTCTTATTTGCAATTGAGTGATTCCCTGATGTTTTACCTCTCAGATAAGTGTTAAAAGTCGCAGTCGCTTAACATCTGAGTTAATAGATGGTATGCTTTTCTTGCAGATGAGTTTTTTATTTAAAAGCTGCATAGTTTGTTGATAAAGTATATACTTTACAATTTAACTTAATAATGTACAAATCATTTTGGTCTTATGATTTTAAATAAAACTGTTTTGCAGTCGTATATAATTTCATAGCAATTAAAGACAAAATTAATTATTTTCTTTAAGTTTCATTAAAACATATAGAAAGTAAATAATTTTTACATAAATAACATTTTACAGCATTAATATTATTATTTTAAGTGCGTTTTCAAGAAATCGCAAAAAGTTTTTTTAAAGATCTAAAATTTAATAAATGCAAAAAATAACATAATTTTACTTTTCATTTTGACAAAAAGCTGTTATCTGCGAATAAAATAATTATAAAAGCTGCCACATTTGAAAGAGTTGTTTTACTGTTTTCTCCAGAGTTCTATTATTCTCATCAATTTTTACAGTTACTGAAGGATAAACTTCAACTCTGCATCTCTGGATGGTAGTCAGTTCTAATAACAACACAAATTATTAACTTTGCTATTAAACCAATTTTTTCAACCATTTTAAAAAAACAACTTTTTAAGTTTAATATAAGTAGTTTTTTTAGGGGAACTTTTTTCTTATTAAAACAACTTTTTTTTCTAATAAAAACAAATAATTGAAGAATTTTAGATAAAAAACTTTTTTAAGTTTGTTATTAATAATATAACTTTGTTAGTCTTTTTTATGTTATTATAATAGATAAAATATTTCCTCTCCAGCATTTATATTATTATACTAAATATCAATCAAGTTATAGCAACATATTACATTATGTTTAGTACACATATAAAACCATGATACATTATGTTTTGTACATGCATAGCAAAATAATATTTTATGTAATGTATATGTATATATTACATAAATGCATTGTATTATGTTTATTATTTAAGTATATATATATATATTTTAATATATATATAATATATATATATATATATATTATATATATATTTTAATATATATATATATATATATATATATATATATATATATATATATATATATATATATGTATATATATATATATATATATATATATATATATATATATATATATATATATAATATATATATATATATATATATATATATATATATATATATATATATATATATATATATATATATATATAATATATATATTGATCCACAGATATTACAAGTATTATATCAGATATTACATTTAGAACCTCAAATATTACAATTAGTAAACTTGTATATTTAAACTAGAATTTATACTAAAGTACAACTAAATATAAAAATGATATTTAAAATATAATAACTAAAATCAACAGTTGTAATATTAAAATTAGTATTGAAAAAGTTTTAAAAG